TTTTCTTGTCGAGATTCGTTAATTTGAACAGAAAGCTATGGAATATCAGCAAAACGAACTGCCAATCCCTTGCGGCAAACTGATTGTGAGGAAAGTGGAGGGAATCGTGAGATGTCCAACGAACTTTTCAACATTAGTGAATGTAAACCTATGTGAATGTGACATTATTTGTCCATATTGTCCTTATTTGATTAATCAATCTTTACTTTTTTAGTCGTTAACGTGAACGAATGGTTGATTTGTGGAAATGAGTTCGCTTTTATTTTTGCTTTTACTTTAAGACATATGAGCTGCAAATTGTCTAGCGATTGTTACTTTGGTTAAATGCTAACGATAAGTTTAGCTAACGATAAGAAAAACTTTTCATCGGGTTTGGATGATTGATTTTATTTTCTGTAATATTTTTTACTTGATGATATCGATTCCTTTCTCCAGTTTTTACAATTTCTACTTGTGCATTGGCTTATGAATGTGTTTTCAAACGATATAATAGTTGTTTTGTGATGAACGACAACCGTACTTATGATATTAGTGACTAAAATGAATGAAAAGAAGAATGGAAATTTCAGGCTTTATGCACTTGTAGTATCTAAGTTCGCGTAGCGGCTTTAATGGTTTCTTGCATCAGAAAAGTGAACACCGGTGGAAAATCAAAAAACAATAAAATAAATGAAAGTTCGAATGCACGCTGATTGANAAATGGAAGAAACACACAATAATACTGATGATATTTATATACACAGAAAATTTTCAAGAAGATATGAAATGAAAGAATGAAGAAACAAGACGACTTACAATGAAACTCGATTCAAAGACAAGTGCGCATTTACGCAATGACCATCACGTGTGCAATATTAATCAAATGGAATAAAGGACACTTCAATTAATATTCAGTAATAAGATCCAATGAAGAGAACTGTTTGATGTTTTACAATGGCATAAACAAACGGATGATCTGCGATGAACCTGATCGGTCCCATCCGCGGCATCGGAGCCATTCGCATCATCATGATGCCTGCTGTGGCGGCCGCAGCCTCTGATCCCTCCTCGTTCACCTGAATTTTAATCAAAACTTCCATCAGAGTCATATATAGGTCTGAATTTATTTCTTCTGAATTTTTATTAATCGAACAGATTTTTTGTACATGAAATGAATTCCCGCATGAATCGACGGCAAATACCAGAACTCCGATAGAATATCATTCCAAAACACATTCGATCATCGGCACAATAACATGAATTGAATATTGCATCGTTATAAACTTGTTACGTTTATAGTTCCGTTAAAAACGGCTAATATCAGATGAAATGAAAACGGATATGAAAAGCGACGAACTTA